TCGTAACAATTCGTACGACCTCACTCGTACAAATTAGTACGTTTTGGCTAAATCTTACATATTTTACGAATTGGCCAATTCGTATGAATTCATACGAATGACCTACCCCTGACCCCGCCCCTAAACCTACCCATGTGGGTTTGGACAAATCGTACGAATTCGAACGAGTGAGGTTGTATGAATTAGTACGAATTAGCCACTTTTTAATCACTCGTACGAATTGGTCGTGAGATAGCGTAGTAATGTCAGACTTTTTTATTTCTTTGAACATAAAAATGTCTTACATATATTTAACCCTCTGGTGGTCTTCTGTCATTTTAGGCCAAAAAATGTTCACATTTTGTTTTACTTCACCGGAATGGTACAAAACTTGGTGGCGAATGCGACACTTGGTCCATAAACAGAACTTAAACACTGTATTAATTGAAAATAATATTCAATATTTTATCTAACATTTGAATTATTTTATTTTTAATAATAAATGGTGCACAATTTAGAGTTGAATATTGTCATGTACCATGAAACTCCTTCAAAATACAAAAAAAAGAAAGAAAAAAAATATTAGTGAAAGAAAATATAGTACATTCAATTCATTAAAAAAACTATGCTAATAACTACGCTTCGTATCCTTTTTCTGTTCCTCGGTTTCACAGACAAGGCTTAAGTCTATAGTCCCAGACTAAAATGCATGCTTGAGCTGTTTTAACTGAACTGATATCTCTTAAAATATGTCAATGCCATTGTTTTGTCTCAAGATGCACACCAGTAATGTTTTTTTTTTTCCAAGGCACATTTATAATATAAAATCTACTTAAATGTCCTAATAACGTGCCGAAGTTACGACGTCACTCTGTAGGCCGAAACGCGGAAGTGAGTTAGCATTTTAGCATTACGGTTCCCTCGCTCTAAAGCCTATAGGATTTTTGAATGGGTTTTTGCTAAATCGCCTGAAATAAGGTCTGTGGTGAACAGAGCCTCTAAATATTTTCACGTTTTGATCTATGACATCGAACACACAGTATTAACCTGCTTGTGGTTTTTTAAACTTTATTGTGTCTGATTGTGTTGTTTAAAATCTTTATATAGGCTTCAAAATGTATAGATTTTGGATTAACTTGTAAAGATTATCTTGCTAGACAAAACGTGTAAGGGTCACAACCCTTTGTTAAACACAGATCTTATTTTTGGTGATTTTCCAAAAGTCTATGGGGAAAATGCATTGCTTTTCGACCGAGGGAACCCATGCGCCGCTAGTTTCCGAGTTGTCCTACAAAGTGATGTCATCACTTCGGCACTCTATTGCACTAAGGTCTAATCCTGGCTTAATCTAAGCCCTTTCTGTCAAACCTGTATGTTTTGACCACAGGTTCATAAGTGTGACCCCTAAGTAAAGAATACCAGACGCTTAAAGTGTCTTGCGTCTTGGATGATCTAGAGAATTACTTGAAATGCCAAACAAACCCTTGTTTCTCACCACGGCTGAGTCGGGAATCTGCATTGCAGCTACGTAGCTGGAGGGAGGAGTGGAGGCATGATTCCAGACCTCAGGAACCGAATACATCGTCTCGACGGTGACCATCAGCACATTAGAGTCAGAGCGCTGGCCATCCGACAGCAACGGCTCCGGAACGCTCACCGTCACATCTAGTGTGGACTGTACATGCAAACACACACAACATATAAAACATGAATTTAAAAACATACTAACTTAGAGGTGTAAAAAGGACTTTCTTACTTTTATGCCGTCCTCATGCACAGCGACATCATGAAGAAGCACAGTGGATGAGAAGCTACACTGACCTAGAATAAAAACAGCACCGCCTCAAATCCCAAGAATATGGGAATCCATTAAAAGTGGCATGAAATGTGTCAAGTTCGAATAAAGTGAAATGGTTTAACCTCGTAGCAGTGGCAGAAGGTCCACGACGGCTTGTCCTAGTGCAGTGGTTTTCTCCTCTTTCTGTTTTTTCTCTTTTGGTAAGGTCTCGATCACTGTTACTGAGGGCACACATACAGTACATTTCTGCTTACGTTTAACCACTGATTTAAGTCATGACATTTAGTCTAAATAGGTTTAAATGCCAATTCACACTGCACTGACAGATGGCGAGCAACGTTGACAGTCACCAGATTACTGTAACGCATTACAAGTAACGAGAGATCACTTTTCAAGTAGTAATGCATTACTTTATTTTATTTTATTGCTGAGACTGATGAACTTTCTTCTTTAATCCAGAATGGCAGCACAATTGAAAGGTTTGTTTAAATGGCGCCCTCTTCTCGACAGGAGTGAATTTGTATTTCCTTTCCACTTTTGGTGTGAAAGATCCCAGCTAACAATTTTAGGTTCTAAGAACGTTTTCATAACGTTCCCACTAAGTTATAAAAATGTTATTTCTGAATGTTCTAGGAATGTTCAAAACGTTCAGTTTTTTAGACATTGTATTAACGTTATTTCTTGGTTATAAGAACGTTTTTGAAAACGTTATTAGAACGTTCAATTCTCCCGTTATATAAACATTGTATTAACGTTATTTCTTGGTTATAAGAACGTTTTTGAAAACGTTATTAGAAACGTTCAAAACGTCCAGTTTTTAGACGTTGTATTAACGTTATTTCTTGGTTATAAGAACGTTTTTGAAAACGTTATTAGAACGTTCAATTCTCCTGTTATATGAACATTGTATTAACGTTATTTCTTGGTTATAAGAACGTTTTTGAAAACGTTATTAGAACGTTCAATTCTCCCGTTATATGAACATTGTATTAACGTTATTTCTTGGTTATAAGAACGTTTTTGAAAACGTTATTAGAAACGTTCAAAACGTCCAGTTTTTAGACGTTGTATTAACGTTATTTCTTTTTTGAAACATTCCAATAACAACGTGAGGATAACGTTTTAATGCTAACGTCTTTAGAACGTTATCAATCTAATATAACGTTGGCACAACGTTATAATAACATTACAGCAAGAATGTTTTTGATAACTTTCAGAGAACCTTCAGAGAACGTTAGCCAATGTTCTGAGAACGTTCCCTGTTAGCTGGGATCCTGTACGTTGCAATTTGTTAAAATAAACAAGCAAGCCCAGAAAAAGTAACGCAAATATAACGTAACACATTACCATAAAAAGTAACTTAGTAATGCAAATAGTTACTTTTTTAAGGAGGAACCAGGGAGGAACTGAATAACGTAATCCATTACTTGTAAAAGTAACTTTTCCCAACACTGCCGACAGTAACAAATTGATCTGACAAAACCCGACGAAGTTTCACCTGTATACTACAAATTTTAAGGGCAATTTCTTGTGATTTGGCCTTAAAAATTGTAGTATACAGATGAAACTCGAAAAATGTGAATATCGTGCAAAAGTTCATTTATTTCAGTAATTCAACTTAAAAGGTGAAACTAATATAGACTCATTACATGCAAAGTGAGATATTTCAAGCATTTATTTGTTATAATGTTGATGATTATGACTTACAGCTTATGAAAACCCCAAATTCAAAATTAGAATATTGTGAAAACGTTTTCATAAGCTGTAAGTCATAATCATCAAAATTATACAAATAAAAGCTTAAAATATCTCACTTTGCATGTAATGAGTCTATATAATATATAATAAGTTGAATTACTAAAATAAATGAACTTTTGCATGATATTCACATTTTTGAGTTTCACTGAAACTAACTTAATATTTAATATTCTAACTTAATATTTTGTCCTGTTTTCCATTACAAATATCTAAAAAAAACAATATACATTTATTCAAGATATTTTATGAAACAACAACATCAAAATTAAGCAGGTTTATGCTTAAAATACGATCATTTCAATTTTTAACTCGCTTTTAAATTATTATTTCATTTTTTTAGAAATGAGACTTGATATCTTGAGAAACTTTGCTTCTCAAGTAAATGCATCTTGATTCAAGAATACCTAGATATTTATTGAAAAACAAGGCAAAAATATTGAGTAGAAAAATATATTTTGTGCAGTGATGGGGCTTCGAGAAACATAATCAGCACCTGATCAAAAAAAAAAAAAAGCTAAAACAGCAAAAACTACAAACAAATGGTTGTGAATGTTCAATACTCACGTATGACAGGTTTATGTGCCACGTCATCCAGTGTATGAACAACTTCTGAACATTCAAAACCACAGGTGAAGTTGTAAACCACATGTTTGTCCACAGCAATGTCCAGTTTTTGTGAGTCTCCCAGCACAGATCCATTGAAATCCACTCGAACAAAACTGAGACACGAATCAGTCCTGCTGCCTCTCTGAAATAATCACACATATACAGAAAACCTTATAACAACTTCTTACAAATAATGTATCACAGTAGTGCCAAAATACCACACTACTACTGTAAAATCATTATAACTTTAGATCAATAAGGGATCTCATTAAAACATTGCAAGAGGCTCTCAGAATCTCTCTGTATTTTTGTTTATTTATTTATTCACTTTTTTTCCAAGTTAGTGGTGGCTAGTGCCATGTTTGTTTTATCATCATATTTAATTTCCACCATTTTATTGTTGCAACAGTTGTAGTGGAGACCGGGGCTAGTTGTCACACTATTTGCAGTGTATTTCTCAGGGTAACTTAGGTTTATTTGAAAGTCAGTTTCTTCTCTAATGTAAAACAGTTTGAACTAGGTGTTTAAACCATATAGCAAGAGAGAACCTAAGTGAGATATAAGTTAGTCGTTCCTCGTGTGACAACTAACCCCGGTTGGTGTCACGGCTTTGCAGGAGATATCTCGTCACAATCATTTTAAGGCTTTGTTTTAAGTGATTGTAACATGATTTTCGTGACTTACCAGATTATTTCCAGAGAGAACAGTGATCTGCACCGGAACAGCTCTCCCAAACTCTCTGTTATTCTCCATGTTGAAATAAAACTAAACGAGTTTCTCTAGTCTCTCCTCAACACTACAGTTGCTCAGCTCGCACTTGTTTCCACAGCAACGACGCTTCGTGTCAGTCTCGCGATATTTGAGAGACGAGCCGGTGTTTGAGAGAAGTCTCGCTGAGCTCGGAAGTTTGACGCAGAATTTTCTTTGTTTGTCTGACGTTATTTTGACAGTCTGAGTTAAATACGATTCATTTAAATCCCTCGACGAGCTGAAGGAAAAGTTACATAAAGGATGGATAAAGGAAAGTGAAAGCTGTGTTTTTAGACACCAACGTGCGCTTCCGGGCGGGTAACTTAACTAACTCGAATCGTGATAAGAGTCTTGAATATTCACACACATATTGGCCAAATGTATCATAGGTTTAGCTGCCTGCTACTTACATGCACTCTCTTTAGTACGCAATGTCCATTATAACTGGCTGTTTGATGCATCAACTTAATGTTTCAATGAACTCAGTGTCACCTGTAATATTTGTGCATGTGAAAATGTAGAACTGTAGCATCTATATAACATGCATGCTTGCATACATTAAAATCTTTTTGTTTAAAAGCATTGTCACACCTACAGTATATTGTCTCCTATCCACAGTGCAGTTGCTCTATTCTTACAGTACAGTTCTTGTGTATTTTCTCAGATATTGAGCATGTCTCTTCGTGCTGTTGAAGAAGCTGTCAAGATGTGCAAAGCTGAAGAAGCAAGACTCACTGAAAACATCAGGCAGTGCAAGGAGATATTGCGCTCAATGTAAGGTATTCAAAGGAAAAGTTCATCCAAAAAAGGACAATTCTGTTATCATTTGTTACTCATCTTAATGTTGTTCCAAACCTGTAGGAATTTCTTTCTTCTGTTGAACACAAAAGAAGATATTTTGAATAATGCTTGTAACCAAACATTTGATGAACCCCATTGACTTTATTCTGTGCCATATTATTTTGTTACATACAATACGTACAGCTTTAAAAGAAATTTTCATACTGGTTTGGAACAACTTGATGGTGAGTAGTAAATGATGACAGAATTAAATTTTTTGGGTGAACTGTCCCTGGTTTCTTGTGGTTATGGCATAGGGAACCAAGGAGCTAAAGGCACACCTTAAAGGGTTAGTTCACCCAAAAATGAAAATTAAGTCATTAATTACTCACCCCCATGCTGTACCAACCCCGTAAGACCTTCGTTCATCTTCGGAACACAAATAAAGATATTTTTGATTGAATCTGAGAGCTGGATCAGTCCTAGATAGACTGCCTAAGGGACTGGCTCGTGACGGCCCATAAAGTCATTAAAGAAAAGGTTTAAATAATCCATGTGCCTACAGCGGCTCAATTATAAGTTTATCAAGCGACGAGAATACTTTTTGTGCGGAAAAAACATAAATAACGACTTTATTCCACTATTCCATTACTTCCTTATGGGCGCATGCGCGAGAACTGAGACGAGGACGTTCTCATTCGTCTACTTCTTGTTACCGGCTGCTCACCGCTTAGGAGTTTTACCGCCACCTACCGTATAAAATGATGATCCATATATAAGGCGCTCCGGATTATAAGGAACACTGTCGTTTTTTGAGAAGATTAAAGGCTTTTAAGTGCACCTTGTAGTGCGGAAAATACGCTAATTGAAAAGCGTATGTACAGCGCGCATCTTCCTCTGCTTTGTAAACAGAAAGTTTTGCGCTTCCAGCTATATCAGCACATCATTTTATACGGTAGGGGGCGGTAAAACTCCTAAGCGGAGCAGCCGGTAACAAGAAGTAGACGAATGAGAACGTCCTCGTCTCAGTTCTCGCGCATGCGCCCATAAGGAAGTAATGGAATAGTGGAATAAAGTCGTTATTTATGTTTTTTTCGCACAAAAAGTAGTCTCGTCGCTTGATAAACATGGAATATTTAAACCTTTTCTTTAATGACTTTATGGGCCATCAAGAGGCAGTCCCTCAGGCTGTCTATGGAAGAGTGATCCAGCTCTCAGATCCAATCAAAAATATCTTTATTTGTGTTCCGAAGATGAACGAAGGTCTTACGGGGTTGGTACAGCATGGGGGTGAGTAATTAATGACTTAATTTTCATTTTTGGGTGAACTAACCCTTTAAGAAAAATGTGCTTTACACTTCTCCCATAGTGTATGATTGCAGACACAAAAAAAATTGTTTTGGACATTTATGCAGCAACAGATCTGGTTGAATATAAATCATAAAAGTGGTTTATTTTGTTTAGAAATCATATGCATGATGTGGCGAGAGGGCCTTTTTACCCAAACACGGTAAAAATTGATAAAAATACTTTAGTTAACATAATATAATGGTTTTTAATGGTGTCTTAATGTTCAAAGCAAACACTTTAGCAAAGTTTGTATATTCGGTTTAAATCTTGATGAATAAAATAATTATTTTTTGTTAACATATGTTATTTATATTGCTATATATAAATTATTTTCAAAAGTAAAGATTCTGAAAGCATCGAAGGAGATCCAATAATAATTTAATATAGATTTACATTAGTAACAATACATGATATTTTATTATATGATATGATTAATATCATATTTTTAAATATGATGGTTTGGTTTGACACCCAACTTAATCTATGATTTTTACCATCTGAATCTAACCATGTCATATCAGCCAACTCTTAATTATCATGTTAGTTATGGTGCCTTTTTACCCTAAATACCATACTTTCACATATTCTTCTGTTATTGAATAACTGTTGCTTTAATTAGCTTGAAAAAACCTGAAAAGACCTACAAAAATAGATTCAATAATTTTAGAGATTCTCATTTGCTTCTTAAAATCTACGATTTTTAAAAAGTTCTTCGGCAGGTTTTTGTGCCATCTAGTGGTTTAGATGAAAGACTTTTACCCCGTTGCACCTTTAGCCCCAATATACCCTACCTGTCTTGAAATAGAGGGTGTAAAAAGTTAAATTTTGTCGGGTCATGCCGTATTTGTGCAGGAGAACACGCGTGACCGAAGCCAGTGAACCTGAGACTGCCACAGCCATCGCTACTAAAGACGGTCAGAGAAAAATCATTTATTTAGTTGTATTTATTTGTCATGTATCCCATGTTATATATCACTCACTATATCTTTGTCTCTGCTTTCTAAAACAGATATTCCACCTGAAGAACAAACAGAAATTGAATTGTTGGAGCATGTTTTAAAAAAAGCACTGAAAATCCGCAGCACATCTGAGGCTCATAAAGAACTTCACTCGGACAGCAACCAAAGAAAACACCCCAAACCTCCCATTAATGTTAATGTTAAAGAAGAAGATAAAAGGAAACCAGTGAAATCTCTCCCCCCTCCAGACACGTGCAAAAAAAACCATCATCACAGAGGAGCGACCCACGGGGCCGTTCTGCTCCGGAAGGGACCGAATGCTCATCCATTGTTCAAAGGAAGGCCATCAGTCCCGAAGAGCGCCCCAGTGAAGATTTCTTCCACAGCGTCCCAGCAGAAGATGCGTGAAGAGTTTTCCCCATCAGTGTCTGGGAAAGATGGGAAGTTCACAACTGGAAATATGCAGAATGCACAATGGTATGTATATGAACTGATATATGGCGAATATGAAATATATCTTTAATCGAATATGTACACTACCTTTCCAACATGACATCATGACTTTTGCGTAAACATACACGCCACATTCAAGTCAAGTGGTGTGTTATCTATACGCATTTTGAGCTATCCGCGTGTATCTGCGATATTTGGAGAGTGATATTTTTTTTTTCCTAGGATGGTAGGGGAAGACTCATAAACAGTATTAACCCCAGTTTGGGGTTGGTCATATATTTATATATACAGTAATGTAACGTTAAGTCAACGGCGTTCATAAACACGCTGAAAAGCGATTACGCCAAAAATGGAAATGCGAATTGGCGTGTCATACATACGCCATTTCATGAGATCAGTCTGACCTTTCAAAAGTTTGGGGTCAATAGTAAGAAATTATTACTTTTATTCAGAAAGGACACTTTCAATCGATCAAAAGTGACAGAAAAGTTATGAGGTTTCAAAAGATTTCTATTTTAAATACATTCTATTCATCAAAGAATCCTGAAATGTATCAGTTTCCATTACAATATTAAGCAGCACAACTGTTTTCAACATTGATAATTTTCAGAAATGTTTCTTGAGCATCAAATCATCATTTCTGAAGGATCATGTGACACTGAAGACTGGAGTAATGATGCTGAAAATACAGGAATAAATCAAATTTGACTATATATGAAGAGTTCAGATGCAAAAGCCTCTAAATGCCATTTGAAATTTTCTTCTAAAATGACCATTTTTATCAAGCTTGTATATTTAAGTTCAGTAATTTCACTTAAATGACAAGTGAAATTACTGAACTTAAATATACAAGCTTGATAAAAATGGTCATTTTAGAAGAAAATTTCAAATGGCATTTAGAGGCTTTTGCATCTGAACTCTTCATATTCAGATACAGTGGTGTGAATAAGTTTGGACACCCATGCTAAAGTTGCCTAAAAAGAGGAATAAAAAATCATCTTTTGGATATTGATCTTAATGCCTTAATTAGAAAAATGAGGAAAACTCCAACCTTTAAGGACACAAATTTTCTTTGTGAATGAATAATGTATCATAAATAAATAAATGTTTTTCCTTAAAATACAGGGTGCATAAGTCAGGGCACCCCTATGTTGAATTCCCATAGAGTCAGGAAGATTTTTATTTTTAAAAGCCAGTTATTTCATGGATCCAGGATAATATGCAGCCTGATAAAGTTCCCTTGGCCTTTGGAATTAAAATATCCCCACATCATCACACACCATTCACCACACCGAGAGATTGGCATGGGGTACTTTCCATAAAATCATCTTTCAATGCAAATCAAACCAGCTATTAGGCTAACTGAAGTAAAACCATGCCAATCTCTAGGTGTGGTGGAAGGTGTGTGATGATGTGGGTCTATTTTAACTCCAAAGGCCAAGGGAACTTTATCAGGATGCATATTATCCTGGATCCATGAAATAACTGGCTTTTAAAAATATAAATCTGCCTGACTCTATGGGAATTTAACATAGGGGTGTTCTGACTTATGCACCCTGTATTTTAAGGGAAAACATTTATTTATTTATGATACATTATTCATTCACAAAGAAAATTTGTGTCCTTTAAAGGTTGGAGTTTTCCTCATTTTTCTAATTAAGGCATTAAGATCAATATCCAAAAGATGATTTTTTATTCCTCTTTTTAGGCAACTTTAGTATGGGTGTCCAAACTTATTCACACCACTGTATATAAGTGATATTTCACTGTATTACTGTTTATACTCTATAATTCATCAAATAAACGCAGTCTTGGTGAGCAGAAGCGACTTCTTTCAGAAACTCTAAAATCCCACCCCAAAGTTTGAATGGTATTGTAAGGCTATTATATACATGTTTTTACCATCAAATGTAATGGTTTTTAATGGCCATCTAATGTAATGTGTTTTAATGGCTTGTCTTTGTTGCTGTAGGATATCGTCTCCTTTGTTACCAGTCTGGCGAGCACAAAGAACAAAACAGATCCGGTCAGTCTAATATTGCCTTGTAAATCAATGGAGTATTTTGGGTTCATTACAAGCTAAGCACTATCAGCAGCATTTGTGGCATAATATTGATTAGAATGACTCATTTTTTAAAACCATGCCACAGTACAATGGAAGTAAACAGAGCAACACTATAAACTTTAAAATTGTGTTGCGAAATCAAAGCAACTAGTGTAAGAAAAATCACTTGCTACACTAACCTTGTCTGTGAAACATCATAAAATATTGAGATTTAAAGCAAGTAAATCTTGTAAATTTCACACAATATACACAGAGAACTGAAACTTTTACACAGAGAAACGTCTGAACACATTAGAGTGACTAATAACTGCATATAACATTAGTTAGAAAGCATCATAATAACTTAAGTAACCCATTTTTTAAGGAGTACTTCATGTAAACAGCTTGTTCCTTTGACTTCCATTGCACATCCAAGATTTTTCCTTAGTCAACCCAGAATATTTCTTTAAATCAAATGATAATCAATGAATATATGCAAAATATTAAATCACAATTATTATTGTGAGTGGAAAAAAACTTTTTTATTATTATTTAAAGTGTAAGTGTTCTTTCAGATTGTGGAAAAAGGTGTTAACCCATGAATCAAAGCCAGTACCAGAGAAAACTCAGTTTACGGAGAGACTGAGAGCAACTGTATCCTTCAGTTCAACACTGTCATCGTTTCTCCTGTTGGTGGGTTTTAATAAACTGCACACTATAGAGTGGTGCAGGCATGACGTGTTTTTGTAGGCCACTCTGGTTCCCTCAAAAAAAAAAAAAAAAAGATTTTATTATTGGCTTTTGGATTATTGCAGAAAATAAGCTCTGTGATCAACAAAACTTCACAAATGAACTCTACTTTTATTTATTTTGAGGCATAAATACAGTTGGTAGAAGTCAAAAGCTAAACGCTATAAATGAACTACACTACACCGCGGTTACATGACTTCAGCGTCACCATCATTGTTGCTTAAAAACATTTTCGAGTCATAATAGTTGGCAAGAGCCCAATTATAAAAGCAACGAGGCCGTGAAAGCAAACGTAGGACCATAAAATGTTCATCGGACCGAATGCAATGATTGGACGAACATTTTATGAAGCTTTGAGGGTTAACCTCCTTGCCCGTCATCTGTGCGTTTCATGCAACCGAAACAGCAGCCGCCTTTTACAGTTCCTCCTGAACCACAATAATGAGATTACGTTGTGTGACGTTGTACTCTGAGCTGTTTGTGTGACTCGAATTCTGCATTTCAATGTAAACGCTATCAATGCCGAAATGAATCTGCAGCAGTCAGGTGGTACAAGAGCTCTGTAAGTGGTTTTTGTTCATTATTATTTTAATGTAATGTGCTTAGAGACATGAGGTAGTTTAACGGCGTCTCTTGTGATGCTTTTGTTTGCTTTCTGTTTTTGGCGTTCATTCGTTTTGAATGGTGTGCGTCTTTGTCAGTGATGGGAATAACGCCGTTACTAACGGCATTACTTTTTCACATTTGGGTCTCATTTGAGCATTTAAAATTTAATTTTACTTGAAAGTAATGCAATAGTTACTTTCTTAGGTAACTAGTTACTTTTATAGTTTTGTAACTGAGTAACTAATTGAGTTACTTTTTGGAAGAAGTAACTAGTAACTGTAACTAATTGCTTTTTAAAAGTAACTAAATTAGTTTCTCAGTTACAAAATTATAAAAGTAAAGTAATTAGTTACAGTTACTAGTTACTTCTTCCAAAAAGTAACTAAATTAGTTACTCGGTTACAAAATTATAAAAGTTACTTTTATAAAAAAAGTTACTTTTAAAAAGTTACTTTTAAAAAGTAATAAGTTACTTTTATAATTTTGTAACTAAGTAACTAATTTAGTTACTTTTTGGAAGAAGTAACTAGTAACTGTAACTAATTACTTTTTAAAAGTAACTAAATTAGTTTCTCAGTTACAAAATTATAAAAGTAAAGTAATTAGTTACAGTTACTAGTTACTTCTTCCAAAAAGTAACTAAATTAGTTACTTGGTTACAAAATTATAAAAGTTACTTTTATAAAAAAAGTTACTTTTAAAAAGTTACTTTTAAAAAGTAATAAGTTACTTTTATAATTTTGTAACTAAGTAACTAATTTAGTTACTTTTTGGAAGAAGTAACTAGTAACTGTAACTAATTACTTTTTAAAAGTAACTAAATTAGTTTCTCAGTTACAAAATTATAAAAGTAACTAGTTACAGTTACTTTTAAAAAGTAATTAGTTACAGTTACTAGTTACTTCTTCCAAAAAGTAACTAAATTAGTTACTCGGTTACTGAGTAACTAATTTAGTTACTTTTTGGAAGAAGTAACTAATTACTTTTTAAAAGTAACTTGCCCAACACTGGACTTTGTAGACGCTCTGAAGGTGTTCTTTTAAAGCTAGCTCGCTTTAAAATGTTACCTTTAATGTCTCCGACGACCTCTGTAGTCCCATTTAGACACTTGTTTGCAACCGCCTTTTACAAGACAAGTAAAAAATCACAGGAGGATAAACCGTGAACATATCTTGAACACACCACAGACCTTATTTCAAGCATTTAACCAAAAACATATCCAAAAATCACATTGACTTCGGGACAATGGAACCGGAAGTGCTAAAATATGTCATCCCTCCACCACTCTTTTCTACTTGCTATTTGTTCAAAAGGCCTCATCAGGACCTCAATGGCATATTTAATTTAACCATTACAAAATGAAGCTTTGAGGGACAAACGCACAACCCTTGTCATCTTTTGTTTTGTTCAAATATTATGTCGTTGTTGTATGTTCTTGACCTGCCGCTGTATCAGTTCCCATCCGAACGGCCTTCCAGATGTCCCGCTGATATCACAGCAGAGCTGGACGTGCTTTCACAGCGTTGTCTTGACCTGACGCACTGCTTCACACACTCAGACTCAGGTAGGGCAGAAAAGATGGAGGGCTGCAGGAAGGCAGAAGTGTGTGGGAGGAAGAAGGGGGCTGAGAAAAGAGCATCTGGACAATTATAATCCGTCCAAGGAAAACACTGTCATGTAGTCTTTATTCCTCTGAGTCACAGGACGTTTCACAGGCTGCAGCTCATTTTGAAGTAGATAGAGATCAAGAGAAATGTGTTTGTGTGTGTGTGTCACAGGGACGTCGCATGAGAGAGAATATGAGTCCTTGCGGATGCTGGAGGGTTTGGAGAGAATGACGGCAGATCTTCTTTCATGTGCTGATCAGCGGAAGAAAGGTACTTCACAAGCGAAACAAGCGTTTCTTGTGTTGTTTCTCATTTGTAAGACACTTTCAATAAAAGCACCCGCTTAATGTTGTCAGTTTATAAAATAAATGTAAAATATTTAATTTTACGGCTCAGGGAAAAGATAGAGTTCATTTAACACACACTGACCTTTTGTGACAACATGCCCCAATAGTGCTTCATAAGGTAAATTGTCACAAATGTAGGCTATTTAATGGCCAAAATAGTGTTAAACAATAATGTAAGTACAAAAAATTCATAAAAAACAGCAAAAGGTAACATATGGAAATATTAAACCATTGTTTTTACCAACAGAAACTACAATAAATAAATAAAAAAATCGAATGAAATTGTATTTATATTTGTTAGAATTTAAATATTTATTAGAATATTGGAACTAAATGCATTTATATACTTGTATTTATATTTTTATATTCATATATATTATATTTATACACATGTATTTATATATAAATGTATTTATTTGTATTTTCTTATTCATATTAATTTTAATATTGATATTAAATTATAATGAATTATTATATTCAACTATTTGTAAATGTTTTTATTATAATATTATTAATTTAATTGTCATTTTATTTGGCACGTGGAAAAAACTTAAATCTGCCTTTAATGTAAAGTTGACTCTTGTTTGAATATGTCAGTGTTATTTATTTATTGTAAACAATAAAACAGACAGATATTACACAATATGGTTATATTGTAATTTTACTTAAGTATAAGTACATATTTTAATTTAAGAACATTCTGGCGTTTATGACCCAAATACAAAACCAGTGCTAGGTTTTGTGACAACTAGCCCCGGTCCACTTTATATGCAAAGAAGCACACGAGACACGACTAGCAAACTTCATCCATCTTCCTTACTCTTTTCACTTCTGTTCTCACACACACGCAAATCAACAATGTAAATTTCTTCTCATGAACAGACACAATAGTGTTCACATGCTAATTTGCAGTGAACAAAAAACATTCTTCAGTCTATTTTGGGTTCAATGTGGTGTCAGTATCTGTTCACCCTCCATTAAACAGTTTCTGGTTGAGTTTCTGTGCTCAGTTTCACATGTTCGATTTCTACAAGTGACACACACCATCCAATTATCCAAGAAGTCGAAACTCCCATCCCCTTTCTCATTGTTGTTAGCTGTCATATTTTTCTCATGAAGTTTGAAGTGCTCCCTCTGGATTTAAAGGGTAACACATCAACAAGCTTCACACATGGTTCATCTTTTTGAAACTTGATCCTCCACAACCCCATAGAAATCCCCCGCCTCCATGTACCAGAGTTCCCATGTTATTACTTCTTGGGAAAGAAATTTATGTACTGGCGACGCTTGCTCGTTTTCAGTGTTTTGCCTTACACCAATTGCATTTGGTATCATTAGAATGTTACTAAGAAATCCGATTTTGTTGTGAATTCAGTTCACTATCCCGTTCACACAGGTTGATCTGGATTAAAGGAGTAGTTCACTTTTTAAAAAACTTTTGCTGATAATTTACTCACCCCCATGTCATCCAAGATGTCCACGTCTTTCTTTCTTCAGTCGAAAAGAAATTAAGGTTTTTCATGAAAACATTCCATGTTTTTTCTCCATATAATGGACTTCAATGGGAACCAAACGGTTCAAGGTCAAAAAGACAGTTTCAGTGCAAACTGTTCAAAGGGCTTTAAACGATTCCAGACGATGAATAAGGGTCTTATCAAGCGAAACGATCGCTCATTTAAAAAATAAATAAAAAAGTTTAAGTTTTTAAGCACAAATGTTCGCCTTGCTCTGTTTTGTGATGAGCGTTCGTGACTCTCCTGTTCGAACTCGTTCATCAAAATGAACAAATCTTTTTTCGAGTCATGACTCCTAGATAAGATAATCGTTTAAAGCCCTTTGAACAGTTTGCACTGAAACTCTCATTTGGACCTCGAACCATTTGGTTCCCATTGAAGTCCATTATATGGAGAAAAATCCTGGAATGTTTTCATGAAAAACCTTAATTTCTTTTCGACTGAAGACAGAAAGACGTGGATATCTTGAATGACATGGGGGTGAGTAAATTATCAGCATAGTCTTTTTTTAAAGTGAACTACTCCTTTAATTGGGTTGATAACCTGGACGTAGATCTAAATCCAGTGCAAAACTGCCTTGTGTTTCTCAGACTGGGAGAGGTGGGATAAGAGTAGCTCTGGAGATTTGTTTCCCATCCGGAGGAGAGGTGATTGGGGTGACCCAGATCGTTCCTGTCTGCCGCCCATCCTGTCCTACACCAGTGAAACTGAACTCAGACAGCTGGAAAGCCGAAGACTCAGAGTCGAACAACTTCAGCAGGCCATTGGTCTTCAGAAGGTTTCAAACCAGTTTGATATCTCGCCGTCTTATATTCAAAATATACCCTTTTTCTTCATTTGGACAAAAAAAAAAGTGTCCATAAGGCAACATATTGTTAAAATTGTTGGGTGTAACTAATTACTAAGTAATTAGTTACTGTAATTTAATTACTTTTCCCCTTGAATTACTCTTCATTTATCTGTAATTTAATTACAGTTACTTCTGATGTAATTGAGGTAAATACTGTATGGATCAATCCGATCTCACAGCGATTCGTATGCATTTTATGAGGTGTCTAAATCGTACGACCGCACTCGTACAAATTTGTATGAATTATTGTAAAATATGTATGAAAAAAGTGTGAAATGTCATGAGATCAGACATAAAACAATAGTGGGTTTAACATTAAAGGACAACTCCGGCGCAAAATGAACCTTTGGTCTAATTACACATTGCTACCTAGTCAACCGTTATCTGAGATTTGTTTTCATGATTGCCGAATGTAAATAGTTTTATCTCTAAAAACAGTTTAGCCTATAACGCTAGTATAATGCTAGTATATAGGGCATAGAGTAATGACAAATAAAAATCGCTTGTTATTACCACTAACAAGGCTCAAAATAGCCCCACAGTAACACGACAGCATAACAAGGGTCCCTACATTCAAACCGAAGCATTGAGAACTTTGTCAGTGTCCATACAGTTTAATAAGAAGATATTTTATAGACACAGTCAACTTCGCGAATACAGAAAGAAGCCATCTTTGAAAAATAGTCTCTACCAGTCGATCTACGAACGCCGATCCAAGTGCGCTGAACTGTGCAGAATCTCATATGATCCGTTGTTTCCAGAAGAAACACAAACACAAACCGTTTACTTCCCTTCAATATGTACATGTAGTAGACTACTGTTCTCGCTCACCTTATCACCTTATTCACATCTCACCAGCGCACTTGGATCGGCGTTCGTAGATCGACTGGTAGAGACTATTTTTCCAAGATGGCTTCTTCCTGTATTCGCGAAGTTGACTGTGTGTATAAAACATCTTCTTATTAAACTGTATGGACACTGACAAAGTTCTCAATGCTTCGGTTTGAATGTTATGCTACCGTGTTACTGTGGGGCTATTTTGAGCCTTGTTAGTGGTAATAACAAGCGATTTTTATTTGTCATTACTCTATGCCCTGTATACTAGCATTATACTAGCGTTATAGGCTAAACTGTTTTTGGAGATAAAACTATTTACATTCGGCAATCATGAAAACAAATCTCAGATAACGGTTGACTAGGTAACAATGTGTAATTAGACTTAAGGTTCATTTAGCGCCGGAGTTGTCCTTTAAAATGTATTGTCGGATGTTAAAAAGTATGTTTTTATAATGTGACCTTCTCCACCTTGGTCAGTTTAAGGATAATTCATACAATTTTATAGTATTTATTTGAAAGAAGTCATGTCTATCCTTGAATTATTCAGGGGGTTGAGATTGATATGGGATTTTGAAAGTAATTAAAAGTAATTAAATACTTTTTAGAGAGAGTAATTAGTACAGTAATCTAATTACACTGTTGAAGAGGTAATTAATTACTTTTTTAGAGTAACTTGCTCAATATCGACACTATTGTTTTCTGTAGAGCTGCTATATATCTGAATTGAACTCATTTCATAATAATCAACTGATTCCAGCTGAATAATATTGTCTTTTTACAGCAGAACTGATTGTTTATCACTGTGTTGTATTAAGCACGTGTTTTTTTTCTGTCTTTAGGCGATGTCCGATAACCTTGTGTCTTTGTGGGACGCTGATTCGGGTGTCAGGCGACCCAGTCCCGTGGCTCTACGTGGTCTTTACTCGCTTCTGGCGGAGGGAGGCGTTCAATTCCCGTCGCTGGTTTTGGATTCGGAGTGAGAAAACAAGCTTGTATTTCAGGGTTAGTTCACTGAATTCTACGAAGCACAGCACAGTGTGAAAAAAAACTGTTATTTGGAGAGAAACTGCGCCAAGCGTGTGCGCCGTTGTTTTTTGGAATCAGTCACATGACTGGAGAAGTGACGAGCGAGTGCAGCTGCTGTTAAGAAAGACGAATAAAGCTTCCAGCTGACGTCTCTCATGATCCATGAGTCAGGATTTCATTTCATGTCACACGCGTTTATTATCGTCTGAAGTTTATCTGGCTCTCGGTGGAGTTCTTCCTGTTTGAATTCATTACCCAAACCACCGGCATCTTTTAACACTAATACCGAGCGTTCTCGTGAGGCCTGTGGTGTTGTGTTTTGCCAGCAGAGGGTGATGTGTCCTGAACCTCTTCCAGAGTCTCTATTGACGGCATCTGTGGCATGACGTCTGTTACGGCTGAAAGTAATTTAGACTCATCTCTCGGTTTATAAAACAAAACAATGGTTGTGTTTAATACACTTATAATGAATGTCTAGACATTCCCGAGCCCCATCGTACATTCACAAATGTGTGTTTTTTGGTCTATAAAGTGTCTAAATCACATTTTAATGGTGGAACTGGTGTTCTAGATGATACTGATGCAAGCACTGTTTTGATTTGTGTCTATTGTGAACCTATCAAAAGTTTGGAAACATTATTTTGATCACAAATACAGAAAGAAAGAAATATTGCAAAGAATATTGATTCCTGTGATCAAAGCTGAATTTTCAGCACTATTACTCCAGTCTTTAGTGTCGCATGATCATAATTTGAAAATCATAATTTTTTTTACTTGTTTTTTATAATATTTTATCTTCTCTTTTTTGGTGTTTTGAGAAAATTTCAAAAAAAAAATATATATATATAATTAGTATTAATGCAATAAATATGACCAAATTTTCCCCCATTGAATATAATAGAATTTTTTTTTTTTTTAAATGTTTTTTTTTTTTTTTTTTTTTTTTTTAAGCTGTATTTCATTTTGGAGTCAAGCCTAGGCCTCATAAAAGCAATTTTTGAAATTAGATGGATGCCATTTCATGGACAAACTGAGCTTTTTAAAAATGCAAAACGCATGTATAATCTGAATTTTTTGGTGTGTTTGTGTATAAAGGTGTGTTTGTGTGTGTGGATGTGTCTGTTTTGCACTCTTGATGTTTTATAGATTCACCCCTTCACTGTTGTGTGCTTTTTTTCAAGATCGTTGCTAATTTGTAGATTGTACGCACAAAAAACTCAGTATTTCCAATTTCCCATTCATTTCCTATGCGGGTCATTTTTGACCCGAAGGTCCTGAGTGTGACTATTTTTTTTTACGACCACTTAGACTTTTCAAATCCTGTCCCCAATTTTTTGGGGTGTTCATATACCAAGTACCATTAAAGTCACCAAGTTTCGGACCATTCCGATGAAGCTACGATTTTTTAAAAAAATTTTATTTAAACGAACCCCAGAGGGTTAATAATGTTGGAAACAGTTGTGCTGCTTAATATTTTTTGGAACTGTGATACTTTTTTCAGGATTCGTTGATGAATGAAATGTTAAAACTACAGCATTGACGTGGCAACATTGCTAAGATTCTGATATTTACCTTTAGGGGGTGTTGTCATAAGAATGTGTTGGTCGTTTTGAAAATTTCAGATGTAGTTTTTATTACAGTTAATGGAAGAAACAAAACACTTTTGCTGCATTCATTCAAAATTTATTTCGTTTGTCTTTAAGCGTTGTTTCATTAATATTTTAAGGCAGTTGAAAGCAACACGACAGTACTGTTCCTTTAACTGACTGGCTTCAAAGGCTTACGTTTACAATGCAACCAATCAAATATAATCTGTAGGTCTGACTGTAATTTTGCAGGTAATAAAAGAAACGGCATCTGTTGCTTCAGACAGTGCACTCAATATCTGTATCTACACCAGTTGCCATAGTGACTATGAGAGTGGCTCTTATTGTGGATTAGACGAGAGCAAAACCCCCAAATTTTGCTTATGTTCGTGTCCGAGATCTCACAGCACTGCTGTTATAAGATGTGTTAGAAGTTATTTACTCATTCACCATTCAGAATGTAATGAATGCCACTACTGCTGTAATTGTATAACATTAGAATCATGTTGTGCCCTAAATGACAAAAAAAAAGACCAATCAGACTCAAGCACGTTTCTAGAAATCTGTATAATGTGACTTCAAAGCAGATTTCGACATTTGTAAGACAATCAGATTGTTTTTATTGTTTATTTTTCAATTTTCTGAATCTGTGTGTATTCTAATGTTTTGTATATATTGTACAAATATTCTTATTTGTCTGTTGAGCTTAACTTCTATATTGTACCAGGGATATTGGAATAATGCATATTCCTTTAAAGGTCAAAAGTATGTTTTCCAATTACAGAAAGCTTCACACAGAAGGAAATGTGTAGTCTATTTGACAATTATGCGTTTGCATAATGATGTACTTTATATAAGGTTCATTAGTTAACTATCTTAGTTTAAAATGAACTAAGAACGAACATAAAATTAATATATTTTCAATCGGGAGGTTAGAAGATACTGATTATTAATCTCTCAAACCCCTTTATCGGGGACTCACACATCCGCCATGTTTGTAGTTTTTAACACTTTTTATTCATTCTTGTAGTTCTAATCGAGGGTTGTGGGCAATATTAGCCAATACAGTTGCACGGATCTACACTTCTTCGGATTCTAACCATCCGGTACTCATTTTATCACACTAAGATTTGGGTCACACTAGTTACGTCCTAATTCGCCTCATTATGCACTATTCTGTTTTGTAGTATAAATAGTGCGAGTAGGTGTTCACACTTCCACATTGAGTACACTCTAAATACATGGATGACGCACTTAATTAACGGAAAAAACAAAGTGTGTGATGTTGTAGGGTCTTTAGACTGTGAATGACTAAATAACCTTATAAAATTCATACACTGCATGATAAGTGCATAGTGTACACTCTAAAAAAAAAAAGACCAATACATTATGACAACATATGTTTTTACATTACTTTAACTCATCAAAATACATTCTTTTAGTTAAGTTAAACAAGATCCTTTAAAAAGTCAGTTTAATGTAATTTAAGGTGGAATGACTTAAACATCCAACTTGATTGTATGTTTTTAAAGAATAATAGTGTGTCATTTGAGAGGCGCCATACCAATACAAACACTTAAAATGGATATTATGCGAATTGGGACGCAGCATAGTCCTCTAAAAAGAATGTCAATATATTTCTGAAATCGTGCCAGAAGAGATGCAGTGCATTAGCCACGGTGAATATTACTTTTCCACCCGGTAAATTGATTATATGCACTCTCGGAAAAAAAAGGTACAAAAGCTGTCACTGGGGCTGTACCTTATCAAAAGGTTCACTTTTGTACCCAAAGGCTGCATATTGGTACCTTAGTGGTACATGTCCACCTAAAATGGACATATTACCCCCTAAAAACGACATATTAGCTCATGAAATTGACATATTAGCACCTAAAATGTATATTAGCACCTAAAATATACATATTAACACTTAACATGTACATATTAGTACCTCAAATGTACATATTACCACCTAAAGTGGACATATTAGCTCATGAAATTTATACATTAGCTCCTGAAATTGACATATTACCACCTAAAATTGACATATTAGCATCTAAAAAGAACATATTAGCTCATGAAATTGACATATTAGCACCTAAAATATACATATTAACACTTAACATATACATATTAGTACCTCAAATGTACATATTACCACCTAAAATGGACATATTAGCTCATGAAATTGACATAGCACCTAAAATGTATTTTAGCACCTAAAATATACATATTAACACTTAACATGTACATATTAGTACCTCAAATGTACATATTACCACCTAAAATGGACATATTAGCTCATGAAATGTACACATTAGCTCCTGAAATTGACATTACCACCTAAAATGGACATATTAGCACCTAAAAAGGACATATTAGCTCATGAAATGGACATATTAGCACCTAAAATGTATATTAGCACCTAAAATGTACATATTAACACTTAACATGTACATATTAGTACCTCAAATGTACATATTACCATCTAAAATGGACATATTAGCTCATGAAATTTACACATTAGCTCCTGAAATTGACATATTACCACCTAAAATGGACATATTAGCACCTAAAAAGGACATATTAGCTCATGAAATGGACATATTAGCACCTAAAATGTATATTAGCACCTAAAATATACATATTAACACTTAACATGTACATATTAGTACCTCAAATGTACATATTACCACCTAAAATGGACATATTAGCATGAAATTGACATATTAGCACTTAAAATGTATTTTAGCACCTAAAATATACATATTAACTCTTAACATGTACATATTAGTACCTCAAATGTACATATTACCACCTAAAATGGACATATTAGCACCTAAAAGGACATATCACCACCTAAAATGGACATATTAGCACCTAAAATGTACATATTACCACTTAAATGTACATATTAACACTTAAAATGTTCATATTAACACTTAAATGTACATCTTAGCACCCAAAATGTACATATTAACACCTAAAATGTACTTATTAGCTCATGAAATGGACAAAAGTTTACCTTTTCAAAAGGTACAGCCCCAGTGACAACTTTTGTACCTTTTTTTCTGAGAGTGTGTCAAAACATGCCAATGGTTTGTGATTATTGTTAGTTAATCTCTGACTGTTCAAACCTCTTAGTCACCAGAAGTGGAGAACCAAAGGAGGTACTTCTCAATGATTTCATCTGACTTTCGAGTCCCACATGGTCTTCACACAGCCCGAGGAGCACGAAGCTGTCACGGGCGCCGCCGCCAACCTACTGAGACGATCAATGGATCGTAGGATTAATAAATCGAACAGGCCTCGTTCCGGTCATCGGTCTTCCAGTAAGTGTTCATGCTTGCTTGGGATATTCATTTATGCACAACAAACAGTCCTAAACCTAATTTTTCGAGTGCTAAATGGGTTTATTTATGTCAGATTCATGCTAAGCGTGTGAAAATGTGTGTTTGAGAGGTTCCATGGGGCCCGTTGGGGACAGGAGGCTCAAGCTGTTCCAGACTGGGAGACAGGTGGCGCTGGGTTCACGGGTGGGCGTCCTCCTCCAGCCCACGCCCACTTCACGCTGATGTCACTGACTCACACGGGAACACGTTCAAGGGACTGATGCTTCCATCGTGGGGAAAAGAAAGACAAAAAAGGAGATAAACAACAGATGAGTGCATGAGTGAGTTCGACCAGGACACTTTTAAAGCCATCGTGACATCTCGTCTCTTTTTTTCATATTTGTTATGAATGATTTGTCCGTGCCCTCGTAACTTCCCCTCTGTCTTGCAGCGACATCTCTTCTTGTCTATAATGAAGTGTTCACCGGCGTGAGGGCGGGGCAAACTGTCACTCACTTGAGATCAACCGTTAACCATCCAATCAATTCCCTACGACAAAATCAAGCCCCGCCCTACATTTGTTCTTGTCCGAGAGGCTGTTTCACAAAGTTTCATGTCGACTTAGCTTCACAGAGAAACCAATCCCAGAATGCATTGCAATGAGCTCCAAGACGGTTGCAAAAGTTTTTGATTTACCAAAAATGGTATGCAAGATGTGTTTTCGTGCCTTATTTTGGTGCTAACATGAAATGATTAAGGATTTAA